GGGGTGGGGCGTGCGGGGTGGGCTCGGGATGGCCAGGAGCGTTTCTGGCGCTTGTGCGGTTCGAAGGCGGCTTGTATCGCTTGGGTACGCGCCCCGTGGTCGCGCGATGAGCTGTCCAGTCCCGGACGATTGAATTTTTGCTGGTCCCTCTTGACCTGACCCCGCAATGCGGCGCTTTGCAGGTGGTGGGGCAGCTGCTGAAGAACGTGTACGGCTGCAGGGTGGTGGGGTCGGCCGGCTCCGCTGACAAGGTGGGACCAGGGGCATTCTGGAGGGGCGTGCTGCGTCGACCGTGGGCCACGGCTATGCGCCCCGCTCGTCTGGAGTGGGACGGCCGGCGCTGCGCCTCCTGCGGCGCCCGCCCCGGGTGCGGTTTCACGCCGCCAGGCGGGCGCTGCACGGTCATCGGATCGACCAGCCCCGCCCGCTCATCGCCAGCCTTGGGGTGCCTGCCTGACCATGCCGTCGAGCCGCCTGCAACCCCCCCTCCCCTGCGCCCCACTTTGCAGGTGGCTCTGCTGCGGGACCTGGGCTTTGACGCGGCCTGGAACCACAAAGAGGTCCCAATCAGGTGGGGGCTCGGGTAGATGAACAGTCAGCCCCAGTCACGGGGACGCCTGGTCTGGATACAGGGGGTCCCCCCAGAATGGAGGGTTGACCCACTAATCAGGTTTTTGCGCCCAGGGCCATCGACTATCTGGGGGTTTGGAAAGGCAAGGCGTTGGATCTGGCCAGGGGCGGATGACGCCGATGGAGCGCTTGATTTACTGTCTGGGGCCACCCACAGGCCGGTCACGCCCCCCATCCCTGTGCTTGGGTAAGCTTGCAGCAGGCCCGGGCAGCCAGCAACACCCTCTAGACCTAGACCTAGACCTCGTCCTTGCCCCAGAGCACCCCTTTGTTCCGCAACCTATGCGCTCGGCGCTTCTCACGCGTTTGGGCGCTGCACCTTTCGGCGCGTGCGCGCCTGCCAGGAAGGCGCTGGCGGAGCACTGCCCCGACGGCATTGACATCTACTTTGAGAACGTGGGGGGTGAGACCCTGGAGGCCGTTCTTGACGCCGCCAACACGCTGGCCAGGTGAGGGCATGCGCTGGATGTAACTTTGGGTGCGTTCACACGTGTGAGTGTGTGCGTATGTGATTGTGTGTGTATGCGGGGGTGCGTGTGTGTGGAGGGGGGGGGCGGGCAGGTGGGTGTGTGGGTGTGTGCGTGCGCGCGCTCCCTTTCTCACGTGATTGTGTTGTGCATGGGGCAGCTGCCGGCGCTGATTACTAGTTGGGAGCAGCCTCCGTCTCCAGCCGTTCGCACCTCTTAGCCTCTCGCTGAAAGGCACCACCCCGGGCGCCCCCCCTCCCCCAAAACAATATCACCTTTGCAGGATCGTGGCATGCGGCATGATCAGCCAGGTGAGAGGCCGGGGATGGCCGAATGGGCGGGCTTCTGGGTGTGCCACACCTAGCAGCAACCCTGGCCCAAAGGACGGCCCTGGCGTCGTCACCCACCCTCGTCACTGTGTCATCCGCCGCGTACGCCCTGGTGTGCCCGCCCTGGCGTGTCACCCGTTGTCACCCGCTGTCACCCGTTGCAGTACGACCTGGCACCCGAGGAGCGGTACGGCGTGAAGAACCTCTTCAACATCATCGGCAAGCAGTGAGTCATCCGACTCGACGCTGCGGCAAGCGCTTTGCAAGCAGGGACCCCCCCTTCTGCCCCGCTAAACCATCAGCTGCTTGTAGCAACCGCCCTGCCCCTGGATTTGCTAGGTGCACATTTGCTACTTGTGCCAAGGAGTCCTCCTCTCTGAGTTTGCAACATCACAAAGACAAAAGGATTTGGTGTATGCCGTCATTGTCAGCCCCTCCCTGATTGCCAGAATTCGAAGGGTATCCAACCATCCCCTGTGCTGCCACCCCGGTCCCCTGCAGGATCAAGCTGCAGGGCTTCATTGTCTCCACCCTGGCCAAAGGCATGGAAGCGGAGTTTGCGGCTGAGATGGCCCAGCACGTCCTGGACGGCAAGGTGAGGGAGGCAAGGCGCAGGGTCGGGGGCAACAGCGCGGCGCCCTGCCGGCGGCGGTGGTGTGGTTTGTTGCTGCAAGGGGCGCCGGAAGGCGGCGGGGCGGTTCGCGCTGCCGCAGCAAGCGAGGGCGATGCCCCGGGAGGCGCGAGAGGGAGGGGAGGGATGGGAACCAGAGGTTGGGGGTGAGGCGCCACGACGATGCTTGCGACAGACCCTGCGCGTGTGGGCCTCGACTCTGGCGAGCCAAACACCAGGCGGCCCGCCCGCGGCCCGCGGCCCGCGGCCCACGGCCCCGTGCCGCTGCAGATCGCGCCGCCCACAATGCCCCTCGGCGCGACCGCTGCCTCCCAGCCCCCCACCCTCCACCCTGGCTGCAGCCACACGCTTTCCCCCCTTCCCTGCACCACCACTCAAACCTCAGCTGCTCGACACTTCCCAACCAAAACAACTCCGCAGGTCAAGGTGATCGAACACAGGACAGTGGGGCTGGAGAAGATCGGGGCCGCTTTCAGGGAGCTGTTTGTGGGCGCCAACGTGGGCAAGGCAGTGGTGCAGGTGGCGGAGCGCGACCCCTTCCCGGTCGCCAGCAAGTGAAGGCGGCCTGGGTCGGCCGATATGGGCGGCGGGGGCGGCGCCGCGCCTGCAAGGGGCTGGGCGCGTGAGTCGAGATGGAGGGGGTGATGCATGGCGCAAAGGCCCGCTGACCTGTTCTGTTGAGCATGTGGCGCGGCGAATTTCTTTTGCTCTTGGGATTGCTGACAAGTTTGAACGCTGGTGTATTGTGTGTGGCTGTTTGGTTATGTCTGTCGCAAGACCAAGTCTCAAGACTGAACGCAGGCTGGAGCTGTTTAAGCAAGCCGCTGCTTGAAAGTGCAATTGAGCATCAACGCAAAAGCCATGGCGTTGTCATTTGTCGCTGTTCATTGTTACTCTCTCATAACATAGTTCTTCTCGGGGCCGGCCATTAAGTGAGGTAGTGACGGCACTGGCCAGTGCACTGCGCTTTTTCGGCGCACGATGGTATGTGGAAAGGAAGACAGGATGGGATGGTGGTGTGCTGATCCTCGCGCAACGCTGTTCAAAATGTTCCAAAAAAAGCAGTGAGACGCAGGCGGACAGCCTGCTGCCATGGGCAGCCGCAAGGCCGGCAGCCCGTGCCATCTGGACAAACCTCGGATCTCGCAACCTCGGACAGAAACCTTGAAACCTCTGTGGTAGCCGCTTCGGAAGCGGCCGGCGCTGGCAACACAAAAGGTGCACGCTGCACGGCGGTCAACGAAGCAGTCGACGAAGCAGTCCCACAGCCACAGATTATGAAAGCGGTGCCTCCAGAACAAATTGCCCTCAAAAACAGATCTCCGAGCAGCGCCTCCATACCTGGTTTCCAACACTTGAAAACCTCGCACAGCCGACGCGACGCCATCCGGCGGCCGCCGTGGCGCACACAACCTCCAAGCCCACCGCGCGTCGCGTCACGTGAGCGACAGCAGCCAGATCGCTCCTGAGCTGTTTGCCGCCGCCAGCAAGCTGCCGCCGCCACGGCCGCCGCGGCCGCCGCCGCCACCCTCGCGCCAGCACACCGAACTCACAAAGTGCGCTGGCCCCGCCCCGCCGCCGCCCGCGCCGCCGCCGCCGCCGTTGACGTTGGTCGTGGTGGCGGTGCTGCCGCCGCTGCCGCCGCTGCCGCCGCCGAAACCGCCGGCGGGCGGCTGCAGCGGCACCTGCAGAATAGGGCTGCTCATGCCGCGGTAGTAGACGCAGACCTCGTTGCTCTCGCTGCCGCACGCCACAAACGGACTCTGGACAGACAGCCCAACAAAGTTGCGGTGGTTCTGGTGCCCGGCAAACACGCGCGCGCTGGCCCACCCCGCCGCGTCGTCATCCATTGCTTCGATGACGCCAGGCGCGTCGCCAGACGCTGCCGCCGCGGCGCCGTCCGCTGGGGCGCACGCGCCCGCGCCCTTGCCGCCACCGCCACCGCCGCCCGCTCCGGACTGCCACAGTCGGACCGTGCTGTCGATCGACGACGTCACCAGCTCGCAGTCCGACAGCCACCGCACGTAGGACACCGCCTTCGAGTGACCCCTCAGGGTGGCCAGCGGGTGGCGCGGCGCCCGCAGGTCGTAGATCAGCGCCTGGTGCGACGCGCTGCCGACGGCGACGGTGTGGGCCGCGGTCGGGTGGTGCGCGACGCAGCACACGTTGGCGCCGACGTCGAGCGTCAGCGCGGCGCGCGGCTGCTGCAGGCTCCAGACCTGCAGGGAGCGGGGGGGAGAGGAGTACGGCAGGGGTCGCGTGGAGTCGTGCAGTTGTGCTTGCTTGGAGCAGGGGCTGCGTGGGAACAACCGCGGGTGCGGTGGCTGCGGGGCAGCGACAGGTGCGGGCAGGCGCAGGGCCGCGCCTTTCAACAAAGGCGGACGTAAGCCGGCTCAATTTGCAGCAGGCACCCGCCAATCGACCCCACGACCCAAAACTCACGCCCACCTTGACGGTCAGGTCGTCGCTGCCGCTTGCACAGGTCGCGCCGCAGCTGCCCGGCGCGAACTCGACGCTCCACGCGCGCTGCTTGTGCGCCTCCCACCGCCGCACGCACGCGCCGCCCGCAGCCACGTCGACCAGGCAAAGCGCCCCGCCGTAGTCCGAGGCGAGCAGCCTTTCCTTGGACGCACGATCCGGGCAGAAGTCGAGGCAGCTGAGCTTCGAGCTCATGGGCACGTCGATTATCGGCTCCGGCGCAGCCGCGGCCGCGGCCGCCGTCCGCCCGCGCCGCTCGGCGGCCGCCGCGGACAGCAGCGCGGCCGCGTCGTACACGCACACGCGCTGCTGCACGCCGGCGGCGGCGAGCAGGCGGCCGCTGGCGTCGAAGTCCAGGCTCGAGAGGAAGCACCAGCCGCCGGCGCCGCCCTGCGCGCCGCCGCCGCAGCTGCTCGCCGGCGGGACGTAGGCGGCGACCGACGCGCGCGTGAAGTGGGTGGCCGCCGAAAGCATCTCACTGAACGCCGACAGCCGCTGCTGCCCGGGGA